TCCTTTTCACATTTTTTTTACATTTTTCTTTAAATTAACTAGATACTCAGCAAGCATTCTTCGATGGGAGAAAATTGAATGAGATATGGTTATAGGGGCCTGGAATGTAATATCAGCGGAAGGGGTTGTAAGTGAAGAAAAAAAAACTTCTCGAGTGAGGTTACGGATCTCTGTCATCGTTTTAGAAATAGTAAAAGAGAAAGGAATAACATATTTCAAAGACGCCTTTCTTGTCATGCAGTGTTGATAAAGGATCTGGATACGGAAACTGATTATCGGCTGCACAGTTGAACGTACAACCGCAAAACGCTCAACAGTAGATTGCCAGATCAACCTAACCTTTATCTAACCTTTGCTGACACGGAGTTGGCTCATATTTCATATAGGATCATTTCTCTAAATCCATATCACGACCGAAACGACCAGGGAGGGACCTGCACTCATGTCAATTGAGCCCTTCACTAAACCCATTTACTAAGTACAGGATAGGGTCACTTTAAGTAGGGACTATTGCGGTCAATCGTCCGCAATATCAAAATGCCACGAGGATTTGTCCATTAATGCCACACGTAGACTACTACTATTATCATCTTCTATGCCCTTTTCCAAGAACGTTCAGCTACTCCTTTCAAGCCGTACCCGGAAATTCAAGCCGTACCCGCTCAAAAATTCTGGCCGTACCCGGAAATCCGTGCCGTACCCGCGAAAATTTCAGGCCGTACTCAATTTTTTTTCAGGCCGTACCCGGTAATTCGTGCCGTACCCTTCGGCCGGCCGAGCGAAGTGTTCTCAAGATTGGGCGCGATTTGTACGACGCCATTCGGCAGATAGGTGGCCAGGAATATTTACCAGAGCATAGGCTATATGAGGTTGTGTATCGTTGCCGTACAGGGTATTTAGACACGACTTCCGAGTGACTACGCACCGGGCCTGAGCGATATCCGCCATTGGGTACGGCGAAAAAGTACATGGTACGGCACGAATTACCGGGTACGGCTTGAAATTTCCGCGGGTACGGCACGAATTTCCGGGTACGGCTTGAAATTTCCGCGGGTACGGCACGAATTTCCGGGTACGGCTTGAAAGGAGTTTGATGGGGGTGTTCAGGGGATAAACATGCTGGCGTAGAAGAAACGCATTGTACTTATACGACACGCCTTATCGTTCAATCGATGATAATCTTTGACGTGGGAAGTTTTTAGGTTGAATCGATGAATTGTCGTAGAGGCAGGAACAGCGTTCCTACATGTAGCTGGTACGATCGCCTTGTCAGGGTATAGGTTGTAATGTCATAATGTCAACAAATTAAACGATGTTCCCTTAAAACAGGCAGAATTCGAACTTTTCAACTACGATTCATGTCTAGACTTTCTGGATCAATGGATTCACTTGAAATTTAGGATTTATAAATGATACATTTCTAGCATCCTAACAATATGATAATCTCTTTCGGAGACTCCGATCGGGGTAAATTAAACGATTGTGCTAAATCTGCGATTATATTCTGCCAAATCGCAACCTCAAGGCTCTACCCTGTCTTTACGGATGGGGGGTGTCCAATGCTTTCGAAAGATTGATGACACATGTTAGCTGCCACGTTGATTGATGGGGAACCACCACAACGCGTGCGTCCCCGGGGTTGGTTCAGTAAAATGGGGCGAAAGAGCACAAGGTGTAACGTTTATGAGCCAGCATTAACCAGCCCGCCCCGCCTCCACACGGGCATTAGTATTACACGCAGTACGTGCAACTCTAGATGAAACTAACCCATATTTCTCCTGAGGAAATGTAGTAAAAAAAGACGGTGTAGGTAGGTCTTTGAGGCATCATAAAATCCATTAGTGGCGTACAATTCGACCAATATTTACAGCACATAATTATGGCAATTATAATTGGTGGTCTGCAGTGAGAGTGGTAAATGCATGAATTCATTTTATTTTTCAAAGTCGATAAATGCCAAGTAAGTCCGGTAAATGTTGCTTTGGGAGATGAACGGTGACAGTAAGGTACATCCCATATTTTGTAAATCTCGCTTTATTTTGTACACGATGTTATCATCTCCAAATCTTATGGAACTCGTATACGATTAAATACGACAGGAACATAATCTTTGGTAACACTTGAAGTTAGATACACACAAAAGTGAGCTTTACCATTTAATCTGATTACACGTGCAGTGGAGACTACGTGTCGAAAGCATTGTATATGATAACATCTTAAAATTAGGACAGGGAATATCATCTTTATGAACAACTAGAGTTCCACGATCTCATACCTTCGCCAAATGATGTTAGCTTTTATGAATAATAACTTATATACAATGTATTAATCCCCCTGATTATGCAAATAGGACCCGCAATTGCATGAATTATATCTGTTGATCATATTTTCCACCAACAGACAGTCTTATTTTAACAAAGAATGTCATTATAGCATTTCCTCATATATTATGCAAATGAAGTCCTTATTTGAATAAGTTATGTTAAATTATGTTCACCTTCACTTAACTTCAAACACCCCAAGTATAAAATTCCAGGCAGTTACCACTATGCAATTATAACATTTTCTCATTAGTCATGCAAATTAAGTCTTCATTTGCATAATCGATATATGCCTGTGTTTCTCTCGTTGTTAATAACATATGTCGCAAGCTTGAACTTCCTATCATGGAATGCAGTTGATTAATAGAATTTCCTCATTAATTATGCAAATTACATCCATATTTGCATAATTGTAATATCATTATGTCAAGCATTACTCAAGCTACCTACATACCAAAAATGATGATGATCCATCAAGCGGTTCTTGAGTTATCCTCCTTTAAACATCTGTCCTTTAAACCCCCCTGCAGTTCTAGAGCAAGCAACTAGGGGGTCAAACTCATGTCACTTCATCCCCAGCACAAGAGCTATCTTCCATCTAAATTTCGTCACCCTAGCATGTCTGGATCATATCAAAACCAGAAGTTCTGCTGCAGTACCATGACAAGCCGCCAGGTGGCCCAAAATCTAATCATTTCGAGCTCTCATCAAGACCTACCCACCTACCAAATATCAAGATAATCCATCTAAGCTTTCTCGAGTTATGCTGTTGACAGACACACACACAGACACACACACAGACACACACACACACAGACACACGGCCAGGAAAACATAACCTTCGTCAATTCTTGGCGAAGGTAATTAAGGGCGGAGATATCCGAAAGGTTACACTGTCTTGGTTATCGATCGCAGGGAATAGATACTACCAAGGAGGTTAACATTGTGGTTTCTACTACGGAAATTAGTAGGGTAACTTTTAATTTGAAGTCTGACGAAAAAACAACGAAACTAATCATCTAAAGCCGTGGACGTAGGGTTTCTTGTGTCAAAACAGTAAACATGTAAGCGACGTGTGCGTGTCTGTCTTGCGAGAATTGCGAGAATGTCGTGGCTATTAACATGAGATGAAGTGTGTGATCAAATGGGATGTGTCATAATACATGCATAACTCCTAGGATAAGCAGAAATGGGTCACAGTGTCAATGAACCCAAAATTCTGTACATACCATAATCGCTAAACGCACACACAGGCACGTACGTGAAACGTCACTAATAATAACAGACTATTTACAGTTTCTGATTGCGACAATAATGCCTTGCTGTAGTGTTGGGGGGGGGGTCAAGTGAGTAAAGCAAGGCTTGTTTGAAGTTCATAATAGAGAAACATTTTTCTTTGTGAATGATTCCCACAAAAACCGCAGGATTTATATCTAACCATGGTGACAAATACCGGATAATCTGGTAATGGTTGGTTTGGGCTTATGACGCAACAAAAATCAGACATGTACAAAGCAGACTTTCCTGACTGTTATCAGGTATCTAACTTGCCGCATTTGATGACGAGTTACATAAGATTTTTGCGTTGATAGCATCCGTTTGTGTTTAAAATGTACATATACTGTTGCCGTTTATCGCCTAAAGCAACATTTACAAGTCTTACCTGAAATTCATCGTCATCGCTAAATTCCAATTTTCGTGCAGTGAATTTTTGCACCTGTGATATATTTTCAGAACTGGGTCAACGTAAGTGCCGTCACTTTTTGCCCGACTCTGATGAACATCTCCACAGAGAACTGAATCAAAATGGGCTCAAATTCTAGATACATCGATCTTTTCTAGTCTACTTGTGAAGAGAGTCGTCCCAAATGACCAAGTAAGAGATCTAAATGTAGCTCGTCCTTTGGGGACAAGTAACACTCGTGAAGAGGTCCAAAATCATCAATTACGGGAAAAACAGACACAACACTTAGGGTGCTATATCTGCTAATGTCTGACGGTTAATAACGTAATCCCAGTTCTCCTATAAGGACGTGACCAGGATTTGTATTAACTAGAGCCAAGTGAGACGAAAGTTAAAAAATGACAGGATACCATGCAAGGGCAAGGCTATGGCACGCCCCCTGGCGACTGCAGTTGTGCGTTTTTAGCCCAGACGTTGTTTTTTTTCTGGGAAAAGCGACCGATAATCGGCGTATAAATGATGGGAAACAGTACTAGTATGGGGTAACTGTGCCCGGTGCGGCAAAAGGACTTCGTCAAACGGTGACTGACGACTTATTATTTAAACATCGAATTAACGTTAGTCACTCACTGCGGTCACTTCTGTGTTTTAGTCATTAATTTCGACCAGGAGCAGATTTCCCTAGCACTGAGGAAACAGAGTCATATTTCTGTTCTTTAATGACTACGTGGTGTCATCATTTCAGCTTAAATCAAGTTACACTTATTGATAACGATACACATCCGCCTCGCACACAGGGAGAGGTGGCTTGAAAGCACCGGATACTCGCGTGGGTTTCAATTGTGTTCTACAGCACGAATCGTCGAAAATCATACTTGCCGTTAGACCAATAGGATTGCGAGAATGTCGTGGCTTCTAAATTTGGCAAGCTGAAAAGGGGCGGAGCCAATGCGTCATCGAGAAGCCTGTTCTCTATAAAATCCCCCCGAGGAGGCGCGGAGGGCCATCTTTCCACGGCCGAACCAACGAGCTTGTCTCTCTCCGTGTGGAAAGTCTACAGGCGGAAAGTCTACTGACCGAACTTCATTCTCAGAGAGACCGTAACCATTCCACTTCCTCCGTTTAACAAGATCCAAGAACTTCTGTAAAAGGTAAGTTCATTTATTCTGTTTAAAAGGCCGGCTGTCAGTTGAAACTGAAGACTATTGCGGCTGCTTTTCTGGTGTTCTCTGTGGATTTTCCTTTCCAGTCCGCGTTCAAATGGAACTTACTGAGATAGTGCCATGATATGATGATATCCATCAGCACCAGTGCGTTCAATGTGGGATATAACTTGCCTCTTGAAGTGTCTCAAAGAAATGTTACGCCCCGTGTAGCCTCCATAGCGTGCCAAAAACTGGGGGTTTGGGGGCTTTTCAGGGTCTTTGGGAGCTTTTATGAGCCATTTTCTGATTGCATGTAGACATCATAACTGACCTGGTTGAATTACCCCCGTTTTTAGAACTGGGATAATCAGAAAACAGTCGAAGACCACCAAACCCCCAGTTCTGATAAGCCTGCTACGGAGGCTACGCCCCATGCGGCCGTGTGGCAGCTAGCCTGTGTGTGCCAGGCCCATAGCAGGTAAAGCGATGCGAGTACCAAACTCTTCGGCTACACTGATTCGTAGGAAGAAACATAAGTCACTATCCCGATTTAGCCCACCTCAGAGTGAGACCTGTACACGTGGTAAAATTTCCCGGGGAGAATTAATGTTGGCCCTGGAGGAGCTGGCCTGTACTATGTGTAGACCCTGGAAACAGTCTGGCACCCAGTCTATCCCAGTTCATCGAAAATGTATGGCCCGCAAAACGTTCATTTGTCAGCGATAATCGGAATCACTTGTAAGACAGGAGAAAGTCATGCCATAAGTACATATAGTGCCGATTTACCAGTCCATTGCCTCTCCTGTTACACGGGGTACTAATGTACTGTAACCAGTTGATTCGTGTCAGGGTACAATGCCCGCTAGATAACAAAAATGGGAAGGATTTATATTCAAATGTTCGGGGCGCTATCCAGATTTGGGCGTTGTCTTTCAGATATATGTCACTGCACTGGTATGTTTCCCTTATCCATTACTGTATTAACAAAGGACAGAAACGGGAAACCAGCGTTTCACCACTTTATCTTAATTAATCATAGCGACGGGTTCCGACAGGTGGATCATGGCACTCAAGGTGTGGAGAAAGTGTTTAAAAAGATAGACATCGTTCGGATATAATTGTCACTGTACATGTAGACTCAACGTTCTACATTTGTCATACAAAAAGCACAAACTCAGTTGATGTCTATCATTCTTTAGACACTTATCATTTAACAATTATCGTTGATAACCTCGCGGCACTTTGAATAAAAGGCGACTATTATAAATGCCTAATTGTACACGGTTACTTGACTGTGAGTAGATATACCTGTGACTGTGAGTAGATATACCGTCAATCCGTCAACCCATACACGCTTACGTTCCGGTAAACATTACGATGACGAAGCTTTTATTTCCGTACACACATTTTACGATTCTACTTTAAGTGTTCTAACCCATACGGTGATGGCCTTTTCCTCTGAGAGGGCGGAACTTGAGGCAGCCTTGCATGCGTAAAAAGAAAAGTATTGACCTTTTATCTAAGGATAGTACAGGGTTATAATTGGCACGGGGCATCATGACTTGTCGATTCAGGGTTCTACATGGATGGTTTACGAAGGAGAAGAAGGTCAATCTGGAAAGGGTTTACAGTCAAGCTGGTAGATTTTCCCTCTGCAATGACGCTACTAGTTAGCCTGTGTGCCGTAGTTTTCACCCGCTCCCTAATGTCGCTAGCTTTACACTGTGGTAAGCTGGCGACATTAGGGGGCGGGCGAATACTACGGGGGACGGCACCCAGGCTAGCTACTAGTGTCTCCCAAATGAAAGGCTGAGCCCTACATTGTAGGACAAAAAGGAGTGAGGAAGAATGGGAAGACCATACACGCTTGACTTGTAGACGCACCAGGCATGTCCTTACACGTGGGGTGAAAAGAACCATAAATTTCAGCATGGGAGTCTTAAACTTCTCCCTGCTGCCTACCCCGTCAATCCGTAGAAAATTGGTAGCCGAACAGAGATCTCAGTGTAAAGTGGAACGCCCTACCCTGTGTCAGACTGTTGCAAACAACGTTTGGAGTTACATCTGCAGGTTTCAAGTGGCAAAGCTTTGTAATGTGTTCAAGACGACAAGGTAATTAAAGAAATGTATCCAGCCACCGTAAGGTACCTAAAGCTAGTTTGAACGATGTTCTGTGTTTGATACTTGACAGTTACAACATTATGGTTTTCCTCAGCTTGATACCTCGGCTTGATGTTCCAGCCTTAGACAGTGCAGATTCGTCATTTTGGAAAAGCGTTTCATCCACCCACGTGGCTAAGTGGCGTGCAGGCTGCAATTTCAGCGTATGTCTGAAAATTTGACGCGCCAGGCCAGTAACGTATTTCGGGGAACACGATTCCACAGCTGTCGTTTTACGCCGAAAGGCCAGTTCTACCGGCTACACACTTGCACAATACAGACGCGGGTTGGAATCAAAGCATTTGTCATTTACGTTGTAAACATCGGAGTAAAGTAAAACCTTTCCGATTCTGACGGTAAAATCACTTGAATGCTCTTACCTTCATTGGCATTTCTTTCGTGATCGATAGAAAAGTAAATTTATCTCGTAAGGACCGACCTTTCGTCCACCCATTAGTAGACAACCCTCTCCTTGGTGCTGATTCCTGTGTTGTGCCTATAGTTCTAACATATTGCAGCACTATTACTTTGCGGAGGTAGAGTACCCATTACCAGCTATTCCCTGCTCTTGCCAGAGTTAATGATCTCTCGAGTTTTTCTGTAATGACTTTCAGACCCAAACTAGATATGCTGGGAGCATTGAGACATTCAATGAGACGATAATGAGAGTTTGACTTCAGGCGTTGCTCACTTACGAAAGCGGGATTCTCATTAGCAGCTATGCCCTGTTCAGGACAGATGTAATGATCTCTCGAGTTTTTGCTATAATCACTTTCAAACTAAGTATTGATGCATTTATCGATAATGAGATATTGTTCACTTGAGTATCTCATTCTCCACGGCAGAGCTATCCCGCGGCAAATACGTTAGTTAGCCTTGGGATTAGCAACCCTTCCTTGGGAGGATGAAGTGTCTTTGGTATAGAGGCAAGTTGATTGTTAACATAGTGCCTCCTTGGTACTTCAGTACTTCTAGGTACTGTTGGAAGGTTTCGGCGCATGCAGTAGTAATTAGACCTTCACTTCTGACGAATTCAGGAGCACGTGTAAACCATGCCCAGCAGCGAATACCCTGAAGGCATCATACACAACCTCTCAAAACTACAAAGTCACATTCGTTTCATCCAGGCACATGGCCAGGTAACGTGCCGGCCCGCGGCTGCCTCTGGCGTATGTTTGGAAATATGACACATCAGGCCGGTAACGTATTCTCGGGAACACGATGCCATGGGTGTAAAGAAACTCCCAGTACGCCGAAGGGGGGTTACACCGCCTATACAATACTGACACGTGTACGATTAAAAACCTTTCTGTCATTCCGTTTACTTGCGTTTCTGACGGTAAAATCACCTGAATAATATTATCTTTATGGACATTTTGTTTCTTGATCAATTGGGAAAGCAATTACATTTCGTAAGGACCGAAAATTTGCCCATTGGCAGACAACCATTTCCTTAGTGCTGAATCCAGTGTTGTTGTGACAGAGTGCAGTACTTGCGGAAACCGGATGCCCAACAGCATCTACGCCTGTTCTAGCCAGATTTAATAATCCCTCGTGTTTTTTCTATAGTTATTCATAGACCTAAATTAAATATGCTGTGAGCATTTAGGCATTTATTTGTGATGATATGAGATCTTGACTTCAAGCCTTGTTGACTTGAGTATCTTTGGCTTAGAGGCTTCAAACCATCTCCGGTTTGAAGGAATCGGTACGGCGTCCTGAAGTGGTGATTAGTAAAGTAGTAATTTGACATTTGCGTCTGACGGGAGCGCATGCACACCATGCACATCAACCAGTACCCCGAAGGCATCATACAGATCATATGAAGTGACATCTTAGGATATTAATTACCATACAAAAGACTTGTTCCGACGGCAGGGAAATTCAAACCAAGACTATTTGAACATAGGTATTGATTTACAAAGGAACAGCCCAGGCGGCTGGCCTGCATTTGGTAGTAGCAACTGAATATAAACGTAAAGGTCTTGAAATATATTAAAACGTAAAGACCTTGCCTGAGGAAGACCTTGCCTGCGTATTTAAGATTGTAAAGTTAGAGTTTTTTCTGCTTATTTCAGGACATGCAGTGTCTCGGCGTGGTCGTACTGACCACTGTGCTCGTGGCGACGGCAGCCGCTGTCCAACCCTCCCACCACCTGCTCCTCCCCGGCACCGACGTCGACTCCGAGCGCGTTGTCGGAACAGGTCATCATCCGATAATCCAAAAGATCAATCCTCTGCAAGGTAACATTGAAAACGCCCTCCTCTTGGGTTGGAAAGGTCCTGAAGAGGATGCACCCGTCTACCCTGAAGACCCTGCTGTCTACTCTGAGGGAACCAAGTCCCTGTGTCAACTGAAAGAATTGATAGACGGCGACGAGGAAGAAGGCACCGTCACAAAAAGGGGCCCTATACCCATGCAGGCCTTAGTCAGCGGAAGATTCGGTCGGTCCGGCCTACACAAGAAGGTTCCTCTCGCCGCCCTCTCGGCAGGACGCTTTGGCAGGTCCCCTCAAAAGGTGCCTCTCGGAGCGCTGACGGCGGGCCGATTCGGGAGATCCGAAGTACAGAGCAGGGGCATCCCCGTGGACGCGTTGATGGCCGGTCGGTTCGGGAGGTCAACTGGTCTTCCCAAACTCACCCTGGAGGCGCTGGTGCCGGGTCGCTTCGGTCGGTCCGCAGGCCCGAGCAAGAAAGTCCCCCTGGAGGCCCTGGCAGCTGGTCGGTTCGGCAGGTCCGGAAGCCCGACGAAGAAGGTCCCTCTAGCAGCCTTAGCCGTGGGCAGATTCGGAAGAGACGAGGAGATGGTACCGCCCCGGGAGCTACGCAGTCCCGGCACCGTCTCCCTGAGGATGCCCCTGGCTGCGCTGGCCACCGGGCGGTTTGGAAGATCGGCACCGACAGACGATGACTCCGGTACGTCAGAAGAAGACCTCGAAGTCAGAAGCAATTCTCGAGAAGAAGAAGAAATCGAGGTGGCAACAGAAGATGACGGAGGCCATCCAGAGTTGCAAAAGGCACCGGAGCCCAACCAGCACCTGCCACTTTCAACCATACCGAGGATGAAGTCGCCAGTGTCTCGGCGTCGGTTCGACTTCAGTAAATATAAAATCCCCCTGGCAGCGCTGAAGACCGGGCGCTTCAAACGGCACCGGGAGGGCCTGGGCGACCAGCACGACGGCATCCCTCCCACAAACACGCCCAGCCTAAAGGAAAGCTATGGGAGCGACTCAACGGTGAGGTACAGCCCATCCATGGCACTGTCGACGGCCAATCATGACCAGCCCACCGATCAACAGAACGACTACGTCTAGGCAGTACCGTAGACAAACAAGAGGTGGGTCATGTTGCAAGAAAAATTAAATCTGTCATAATAACTACAAAAAGGTTATCAAAAATATGCATGCCCAGTGTTTTACATAACATACACTCTTCTTTGTTGATTACAGCTTTTGCAATGTGCTACAAATATGATGTTCTAATACCTGTTTTTCTTATTTGTCTTTCAGGCTAGAGAGGGACACAGGTCGCGGATAGAAGATGCAGGAGAGTCTTCAAAACTAACATCTCGAACAGAAGAATAGTAGAAACAAGACTTAATGACAGTATATATCATACATATATGTACATTATATGTACCCTCTCTTCTTGACCTAAAAAAAGTCAACCTACCTATGAAAACACTGTTGTTAAGGTTGGTTTCCTTGAATGACTAAATCAGGCAAAATTTCCGAAAAAGCCCCTTGGCTTTAAAAGTGCTCTCTAAAGGTAGAGAAAAAAAGATCTATCTGCAGAACTTTTCTTACATAATGCTGTCATGCCCCAGTTTTTTTAGACAAATTTATACTAGCACATTGCTAGCTCTGCCGCATTTGACGAACAAATTTTTTTTTATGGCATGAGCCTCTGTGCCCAGTTTGCGAGAGTTTAATGTGATTTTCCAATGGGCCACTAAAATCAAATTCTAAGGGACTGAGGAAGTTAACACCATCTTTGACATATTGCCATGATGATTGAAGTGTACTATACTTTAGCCAACATTAATTCAGTTGTCACTCTGTCACATTTCTGCTGGCAAACATTATTATTGATGAGGAATCATTTAGTTATCAAAAGATATATTAGAGACAGAAAACAGAAGAATTATGTTGGTAAAATCAAACATTCATGCCATTCTCTTGGATGAGTTCATTAGGTTTCAAAGGTATAATATACCAGCAGCTTGATAAATTGTTATGATCAGGAGAAATTAGATGAGTGTGTTTAGTGATTAAAAGTATTTTTGAGCATTTTTTAGAGAAGACACTACTTTGGACATTTGGTGTGGCAGATCCTATAATTGGGACTGAAAAAATGTAGAAAAATAGAAAAATATATATTATGTTGTTAGTTTATTAGTGTTGTAGACATTTGAATCACAACCATCAAAGAAAGTAGTCCTTGAGAAAGACATGTATCTACATATAGAGACCTCAGGAATTGGATTCATGGTATAAGAATAATCAGTGATATATATTGCGGAAGAGATTCGGAGTAGCGATACCTGTTTAAGACTGATGTCTTTAAGAAACAGCAGGGATTCTTCAGAACTCTCAAAGGTGGAAAACCGTTGCCAAGAGCAACTTCCACGGCAAATGATGATAGTTTTGTCATACGTCACTGTGACTCGAGAAAACCTTGTAGTACCTACAGGCAGGACACTGTTTTCAATGGGAGTCACCAAACGACATGGAAGAAAATAAAGACATAGAGGAATCAAGAGTAAGTTGTGTGGAGTGTCAATTTTACTTCCAGGCAAGGTTCATAGATAAAAGCATCGCTTACTAGTAACCCTTGTCCTGTGGAGCACAACAATTGTTGTTCTGCAAATACAGTACCATCTATATAGAACTCTGTATAGGTACGAACTGGGGATATTTCTCGCGCAATGCATCACACCACAGCAAAACACAACGAATGCGGAAGTAACTATGCCACTGCAGAGCAAAAAAATTTGGGAGTCTATGATCTATTAAATTAAGACATGAAATTATTGAAAAATATTGTGCCAGGAATGCCAGCAGGACATGGGTTAAGGGGCATGTAGCTGGTTATCACTCTACTTGGTAAGTTGATGTTAGGACTTATGTCAACAACTTCAAATACAAACCCAAAAGAAACCTAAAAGTGACAGCAACAAGACTCAATTTATTTGAAAATCTGAAATCTAAATCCTCACATTAGCATTCCCTTCTGATATGCGCCCGGCCGGGCATACTGTAAAGATAGAGACAAAAGCTATTCATGACTCTCTAAGCCAAATCCATGTGCTACAACAGACTTTTGTTATCTAAAAGGCACAGTGGAAACATATCCCATGTTATTTTACATTATTGAAAAATGATCATGATAAACCGGACAGTGAGTGAGTGAGTGAATTTTTCGTCTTAACTTCAAAGTTAAGTATACTGACCTTAAATACATGTACTAAATGACAGCATTACATATCTTCGACTCTACAGCCTAGCATTTTTAAGATAGGGTGGGTGCCAAGCTGTGCTCACACATAATGTACTCCTGTGTTATATAATCAAAGCAGATAGTGACTGCATCAGCCCTGGTGTCTCATGACACCATTAGATATCCCACCTGGAGCCTCACAGTATGATTAATGGGAGTAAAATTTTGTTCAGTCTGATAGTTATTCTGTGTGAGGGTCTGATTATCTTGGACATGGCCTACAGCAACTCAGAATCAATCCTGGAGATAATATATACTGCTTTACAGATAATATGATGATTATGATAGATGATCAGTGGTTGGTAGCAATGTTACAACAGTTACATGCTGCTCTCACATAAAATGCACTGTGAGCCATAGCCAGTTCTCTCATATCAAGTCTTGCCAAATACATTCTTTCAGGAGTTGATGCAATTTATGAGGTATACAAAAAAAGGCAAACTGGTGCAAGGGCCACTTGAGTTGAGTTTTTGCCTTATATTCAGTAGGTCATGAGTTTGATCCCTGAACGAGTCAAACCAAAAGACTTTGAAAATGGTAGATACTGCTTAGCACTCAGCATTTGGAAAAGAGTGTGGTAGGTAAACACACACCACTACCAGTGGACTAGCCCCCTGCTGTTGTGATTGTACTACTGTGTGGCCCAAGGGTTATAGAGAACCAGAGATGGGCACCATCTGGTGTTGGAAAAACTTAACATTTTGGATTCTATTTGGCTAGGTGCAACAATACACATCGATAATTACCTTTGAAGTTACTTTCTTACTAAAAGGAATCCCGATGTAAAAGGTGATGGGACGTTTTGAATGGTCTTTAGTAGTTTCTTGACGCAGCTGGACATCATTCAGTTTACAAGGATTAACTCCACATCATGATGAAGAATATAAGTTCAATTGATGTACAATGTACGTCACAACTAGCTGGCTGACTCCAAGCTAGGTGGAGATTTAAAAATAGTTCCTCCAGGTATTATCCTTGACATTTGAGGGCTACACACGAATCAGAATCATTCCTTTCTTTCGTCCGCACGACTTCTTGAGGTAGACGGATCTTCTACCAACAGATGGAAATATCTTTAAGATAGCCACAAAAGCTTGATGCTGTTACAGCTTGTGGCCATCCTGAACCAAACTGATAACAGACAAACTCTCACAAAGGTCAAACAAGGTGTGAAGAACCATTAAACATTATCTCCCATCCTAACATCCTAATGCCTGGTATCTCCTGTGACGTTACAAGGATATTCCAGTGAGCTGGAAGGAAGCCAAGCTGAACAAAAGTGATACAGCTGACATAGAAGTCCAGATAACCAGATCAACAGCCGGCATCAATTCATGCTGCCCTAACATCCCTGCTAGCAAGGTTTGCAATCACTCCCACAATATACACAAATCCTTCAATTTATTTTACAGTACTACTTCCATTACTAAATACACAAGAGATGGGTACAGATAATAGTGAGATGAGCCTCTAGCAATGGGATGAGATGTGATAAGGGCTGGGTTGTGACTAGGGAGGCATAGATTTGGGCTTGTATGTAAAGCAAATTCGTTAACTTGGGGTCAGAAATATTCCATTCAATAAGGCTTTGCACTGACAAGACATGAGGCATACAAAGCCAGTTGACCTTACTTTATCCAAAGTTCAATGTCAAAGGAAATGATCGTCGGGATTTCCCTGAACATCATCTGATCTTGAAAAGAGGTTTTCCTAACAAATTGCTTTTTCAGCTTTAGAAGTGCACCTATACTAGCTATGTATGTTATATCACATTTCAAAACCTGGGCCTGGTCAGGCTCTTTGCATGAACAAAGAATAAACAAGTCAAATCAAGAACACACACAGTGTTTAGGATTAATCTTTTTCACTTTTTTTAGTTTTGTTGACATTTATATCATACTGGTACTGTTTGGTCCTACAAAAGTGCACATGTGCGCACACACACACACACAGACGCACGCATGCACACACACACATATTTTGTCTTTTCGAACCCTATCATAAGTAAATCTTCCTTGTATAAGGTTAAGGTCTACATTTTAGTGATTAATATGTAATAAAAACAATGACACTGTACAATGTACATCAGACGGTAAACATTTACTATTAGCAGCAACCTCTAATTAACAAGTCACAAACAAATCAACAAGAACTTTTCCAAGACAGAGATTCCAAATGGCAAAGCTACATGCCATCTGCTGTGACTTAAGAAAATCAAGTCTGGGACCAACACTTTAACAAGACAAGTCTCCAAGGGATTCTTCTTGTAACACAAAGCTTAAGAGATACAAAATAATGTATTTACACAATAATCACTGACATTCACAGGCATAACAGCCTTTTTGCTGGTTAAAACATTTCATAAACACAATATACATCATATAGAAAATTGAAAGCAAAATTTGACATGGCTCAATCTGCAACCAATCACGTCAGAAAAGTAGGTTGCCCAAAGTCAAGGTTGGACATTGAAGCCCAGGTCTTTCACATAGTGAATTTTTCAACCCAGTCACATTGGAAAGGAAGGTTGCCCAGAGTCAAGGATGGACACTGAAGCCCAGGCCTTTCACATACATGTAGAGAATTTTCAAACCAAGTCATATTGGAAACTTAAGGTTGCCCACGGTGAAGGTTGGACATTGAAACCTAGTCCTGTACATTTAAATTTTAGTGAATTTTGCAACCCAGTTATGTCAGAAAGGAAGGTTACCCAAAGTCAAGGTTGGACATTGAAGCCCAGGCTTGTTAGTAAGTTGTTACATCAGCGGAGAGCCGGAGACGGTTGTCCGAACCCAAGGCTGGCCAAGCCGAGTCCCCGAGGGTCCTTCCAGGCCCATGTGATACAGTAATGCTGCAGGAGCTGCTGTAGGAGTTCCACCTCATCCAGGAACTCCAGCCGCTCTATTCTGGAACAGGCAATTCCAAGTTGAAAATACAGTCAAGACCTTTTCCAGTTGGCCACTTGCAGGCCTCTAAATTAACTTTTCTTCCTATTGTTCCAGCACTGTCCCAAGAATAGATTTCAATTGTCCCGAAGTGAGGATGAACTGTCCCAACCTGTTTTTTGGGAAGTATACTTCAACTTGAAGTCAACTTTATTTTGCGTATGTTCACTTCCAGGTCCACTAGAATTGCAGAGTAGAGATTAAAGTTAGGGGGACTTTTCCAGATCCAAGGGCTGACATTCTGATGTTCATTATTTTCCCATCGTCCCAAAAAGGTCCCAAAGTGTCTTTTAAGTTGCCCCAGCCTAAATTTTTGTAGACAGTGGCCACTGGACCACCTTTAATTTCGAGTCCTTCATTTGGTCATAACAACCAACTTTTCCCAGTCCCTATGTTTATTCCACACTTTTCATTGGCACTAGCATCAAGCAACCTGTCCAAGAAGACCACTTTACTTTGGTCCCCTGGGTGGCCTATGATTACTGTTGATCTGATGTTATGATAGACTTCCATGATAGAAATATTTTTAGTCAAATGTAGATTGCCCCACCATCCAAAATGTTTCCATTTATAAGCATTATGACATATATTTCAAGATCTACATACAGTAGCTGGCAGGTCTATTTTTTTTTCATTTGAATGTGGCACACTACATTTGATTTACCCCATTTTGACTTTACCACGTCATCTATCTATTTTATTAGGTACAGAGTTAGCAAGATTTTCTCTTTCACTGACCAGATTCACTTACTGTCACATGTACTTAACACAGAAACATTAACAAGGTTTACTCCTAATGACTTCTTTGTCATGCCAATTGCACATCATTAGAAATCTATCATTCTGTGAAAACCAAATTTTCAAATACTCTGTGTGTGCACAAGTTCGAAAAATAAGGTTTTCCTATAAAAAGAATACAGGATCCAAGCCCTGGCATATTGACAATTTACTACAAAAACTACATGTACTTCTTATAGAGTAGTTTTTCTATCCAAATCATTTGCATTAGTTTGTAAAATAAGACTTTTTTTCTTCAATTTGTGCTAAATGACTGGAAAGAAAAGGTCCTTCACCGGAAGAAACCGGGCATTTATTTTCAAATTCTAGAAGATTCTAATCTGCTTTAATTATATACTGTTGCATAAGCTACCAAATTACAGTGTCTGAAAATGTACTTGAATGTAATGACAATCAGCAGTTACTATCTTCCAAGACATCCCTACATTTGTCCTAAATGGCTATTTTCAACCATTAGTCTGATATATAAGCCCGATAAGGTGGTAGACTTATTGCTTGCTTGCAGCTAGCAGACATGTCCGTGATTCTGGCACAACCATAAGCTCTGAACATATCTCTCACTTGTGCTTTAATCCTGAACCAATCGCTAAGTAATTGACTTTCCCGTGGAGTCTTATGCCCAATTCATCTCCATCATCCATTTTGATAGGAAAGAAAATGCTATTAAGACTCTGAAGCTTCCATCATGGTCCAGAGGTGCTTTAAGGTAACTGTCGTTGTCCTCAAACTAAGGTGTTGTAAGGTAACTGCCAAGGTCCGTAAAGGTGCTTTAAGGTAACTGTTGATGTCCTTAAAGATTGCTGCTTGAAGACATTAAAGTACTGACTCAAAAAGTGTTTTTTTCCCTTCTGCATTGTGCAATTTTTGTGGGAGTGTTCACTGCCAAAAGAATGTCTTTCGATTGTGTAATTTCACAAATCCTTAACTTCAGTGTGATAACTACAAAGAACAAGGCATGCATTTGAATCAGACAAATAGATGTCTTTTTCATCGAATGGATACCTACTTATCATCAATCAAAAGTTGGGCCAAATTGGAAATGAACAATGGCAGTACATAATTTAACTGTGTCTGTGAGTGTGACATAAAATGTCCAAAGTATCTCAAATTTTTAAAGCTATGGGTGACAGAATTTCTTGTAAAAATCTGGATACTGTAAAATTTAATTCATTTAGTCTTAAGGGGGTTGTACCTTGCAATAGGCGGGACAGGGAGGTGTTTTAAATTTGTGTTTGAATTAATTCTGTAGTTAGTCATGTATGAGTAATACCATGGGGAGATCAGACGCTGTGATTTGAGGTGGAGAGGTCACTGAAAATAATACTACTGGAAAAGTTTCTGCCTTTACAGTTTCTTACCTCTGTACATCCTGCTGGGGAAGACTGTGGTACACTGTCCACATGTCCAGCAGTTCTGCTCCCTCCCATCCCACTGACAAAAAACGCTGCTTCTGCAAGGCGGGGGGATGGCACGGTTAATGTGTAATACATTGGCATGGACTAGTAAAAGAGCCTGTGAAACTTTGTTTTGTTTTTGTCCATGTAACATGTTTGTGTGGGAGCTACAGTAGGTTAATCTAAAAGATTATTGAGTGAGTGAGTGAGTGAGTGAGTGAGTGAGTGAGTGAGTGAGTGAGTGAGTGAGTGAGTGAGTGAGTGTCTGCAGAGCTTGAATACCACCCATATACTGCAGGTACATGTAAGTACAGGTAAAATTGGAGCTGTGCAGGTATTTCTGATGTCTACCTTATTGTTTTGCCGACATGCTGAAGAAACCTGTTCTCACCTGAGATTCAGCATCAGCACAGAGATCCACCCCAGCTAGGTGACAATGTCTAGTCTGCAGAAGAATAAAACATTCAACATCTGAGAAAAGTACCCAGGCTAAGATCTCAATTCATCTTGTGATTCTTTGGGGCACACCAGTTTAAATTCTTGGTTCTTGAATTTGTCTTAATCTTTTCAGTTGGATTAAGGTAAATGACATGACTGTGAATTTTGCTCCAGTGCAATTCTGTAAAAATCTGCAAAAAGGAACTAAATTAATGTACAATCATGTAACTTGTGGCCATTAAAACAAGTACTAAGTACCATAATTTTTTTGGGAAATGAGAATGCAAAGAGAGATGAAAAAAACACCAAGAAATCGATAACCACAGTGCAGTGCTTCCTGTTTCTGACTGGGAGTGTAGAACCTGTCTGATATAATGTACAGTAACTATAGAAATGATGACGTAGACAATGATGGTCATTGCACTTAAGCTAGCCCCTCTTCAACTTCAACTGGCATGTTTTCTTACGTTTTAATGGAGGGACTATAAAGTGCTGCCACTCTTTTAACAGTCACGTCACCGTTTTGAAAGAGAAAAGATGTTCCTAAGTGCCAGGTAGCTCTACAAATCTAAAATGGCTCTGCATTTTAAAGAGGTACTCTGACACCATTAGAGTTTGTGTCTCACTAAAACTTAGATGTTTTGGCACGGAGGGCTCAGTGTTAAAAGCTAGATAGACTTCTTATGGGTCTTGAGGATTGATACGATGACATGATTAATGAGGTATGTCTGGCAAAGTCAGATGATGGTACATTGTTGATGGCAGAGACAGGAAAGGCTGCAACTGACAGATAAGTTCACCGTTTGAAAATACCGGTTCTATTTTGCTGTAGGAAGAAAAATGATGTTTTCCCAGTGCTGTAATGACCACAACATCTCATCTGGTGATGTTACCCTGACAGAACATGTCATGTAAATGGAACAAAACAACATGTCATCACTTCTCACCATTAGCGTTATGCTTTTCTTCATTCAACAAGCAACTTCATAATGAGTGAATACTGTACTAATGGCCACAAATGCGTGCTTTGATTTTAATTTTCCTACCATGATCATTACATTAATATGAGATAACAGCACATTAAAAAAAGATTTGTCTATTATTAAATCTTTTTTTAATGTGCTGTTATCTCATATTAATGTAATGATCATGGTAGGAAAATTAAAATCAAAGCATTAAGATACACAATGCAAAAACATCAACACTAATAAAGATTACAGGCATTTGGGGCACCCTTGGGACTGACTTAATTAAACCATTGGGTGATAAGAGTGACAAATCTGTTTGAACTACACCCATTGAAAGTTGAAAATTCATTCTTTGAGATGTTAACATGTGCTTCAGCCTAGATTATCTTTTAAATGGAATGCGTGTGCATGCAAACAGGATAATGAAAAAAAATACATGAATTGGTTTTCAGGATTAAAAAGATTGCTGATAATTTTTTCATGTTTCTTTTATGTATCATTCACTGTCATTAAATCATTTGTCTTTCAACCCCCTGTACTTGCTGCCAAAGTGAAGATTAAGTGCCCTTGGGAAAGGCACTTAACATGCATTTTCCCCCTCAGTTAGAGGGATCCTGGGCCCTACAATAGGGTTTGGGTTGGTGTTAGGAAGGGCATCCAGCTGTAAAAATCTTGCTTCAAAAAAAGTCTTGCACTTGGTGCAAGGATGTCTAACCCCTGTTTTTGGGAAAAGTGATGTTAAAATTGGATTTAAAAAAACATGAGCATCCAGCCGTAAAAATCTTGCTTCAAAAAAGTACTTGCACTTGGTGCAAGGATGTCTAACCCCCAATTTTGGGGGAAAATGATGTTAAAATTGGATTAAAAGTAAATGTTCATTTTCCCTAGACTGTAAAATTTTCTATATCAAATAACACTTAATTTAGGACAGACATGGATCCATTACAAAATTTATATAACTAATATATATTTTATATTACTATTTGTATAGTTTATATAACTACTGGTGTATGTTTTTTCTGGACTCTGAGATGGCGGGAATCCTATATCATAGACCCAGGAAATTTGATAGGTACCAAGTGTAGAAAAATATGATTTTAATCAAAGACTTGATAATGAAGTTAGCATGTATTTGTATTGTATAAAAGGACCTGAAAACATGAAATAATGAGTTAATGCAATCTTCCACAAAAATAGCTTTTGATACAAGGTCCTGAAAAAAAATTGATTGATATCATTACCTGATATTAACTCAGTTGCACTGATATTATTTGCATGTGCGTCACCAGAAACTCACATGGCAAACATGTGATGATAAGGCCATATGAGTTTATGAATCATTTAAGGTTGTAGTAATGTTTAAAATAACATACCTTATCGTTTGTTATTCCACATTGAATTGCTGTGTGTTCAATCATTGATGATCATTTACATTCCAAAATCCAAGCAAATTTTTTCCAGTGTGAGGTGCCTTATAGAATCAAGTCACTCGGGCTTAAAGCTGCATTATGTAACATTATTAGATTAGGCATGGAGGTACAAAAATCACATAGTTACCTCCATGGATTAGTATGATACAAAAGTCAATTTTCTGGTCTTTTCTTTACAAAGTATAAGCTGAATCAACCCTACTCCATTAGTGTCATTCAGGAAGTGGAGGTGCAAAAATATTACACCATACTCAGCTGTCAGTTAGGTGTTTTTGTGGTGGTGCCACAAAATAAGTAAGCCTCACGTTGGCTATTTTAGTGCCAGGTCAGAAATGTGCTAGCAGAAATATGTTGAAAAGTGGAAGTATATGACAATCACATCAACATTTTTGGATCAAAATATTTCATTTCGATAAAAAAAAAATGTTAATGCCCCTGTAATGGCCCTTCATCAGAAAAGCATCCTGGATTCCTGACCATCAGATCCTGTTGTTGACCCCTCAACAACTACATGTGCAACAGCACCACATTACAGAGACTCTCCTGCCTTTTGCAATAAGATAGTACTTGAAATGAAGGAGTCCTACATGTGTAGATGCTCTTGAAAAGGATTCCAAGAGCTTGTTGTTGAAATGTGTGAATAAGTGCCTGAGTTCGTGGTTTGGCATTCGAAAACTGCGAACATCAATGATAATAAAGTCACAGGGCTCAATATGTGACATGTGAAAATGAGCTGGTACGTGTATTTTTGTGCAGTAGAAAGTTGACTAAATCACTTGAAACATCATCAATGTTGTTTATTTACAACTTGAGCACAATTTTTCAACGATTTCTGGCAATGTAGACATTCGGACAATAATATAAATATATATTGAATGCCCCTACATGTAGACATAGTTTATATGGCAATGACCAATGTTTCAGCCATGACAGACAAAAATTTTCAGCAATTCTCCACCTTTGATGGACAAAAATTGATGTGTAAAGATATGGGGAGAGAGGTCATTCAACTAAGTTTAGTCTATCTATGAAATTTGCCCATTAAATGTGGGAAATAGCAATTCAGGGGGTCTAGTTGTGAAAATTTTGCAGGGGAGCAGTGTGATGCCTCAGTGTGATGTGATGTTGCGTCAAACAAAATTGAGATGATGGGAAAACATCTCACCAGGTTGGCTAAAACACTGGTGTCAACTACAGATAAGAATGCCAAAATGCCCAGCAGGTATATGTGTATATAGTGGTGAAGTCTTAAAAGAAAAGATAACTACAGGCAGAGAAGAAACACAATCCTAGCCTGAGCTGACTATCACATGTACATGTCCCACGCAGCGTGATGTGAGGATTTTCATATCAAATTGCAGGTGAACAGATTCTCCATGTGAATCCATCAGAGAGATTTAAAGTGTCCTTCAACTGTGTTTTTATGATGTGCCAGCTGTGCATGTTGGAAGCCATGTGAAACTTTACGAGCCCTTGAGCCACTCCAGAACCTTCCCTGCACATCTGGAGCTCCGCCAGAATTAGACTTACACTGTCGGCCTACTCCCCATCCATGAGAAAAACATCTAATCTTATTAATAAGATACTGTAAATAAAGAAACTTTCGCAGCAACTTTTTTGCAGTTTTTGCAGTGACCCTGAAATATGTATACACCACAAATATATGTTTTATGGCTCTTCTACAGGATAATTTCAAGGGCAATCTTCAAACACCGCGAAAATCTCATTTTTCCTCCAAACTACAAAATAAAAACCACCAGGAAGTTAAATACATTTACAGTAGCCTTGATAAGACTACATCAATGTCAGATCTTGGACCATTATCTTCATTTGACAAGAGCCTCGCTAGTTTGCCTGTAATGGCCTTGTTAAGATTGCATTAAACTGGTTCTTCAATTGAAAGTCTTCATGAGTGGCTGAACTGATATCTAATTGCAGGGATAAACCAAGTGTACATCTGGTTCACGATTCACTGAACAAAAGCAAAAAAAAAACTCTTTGTCAATGCAAAAGTAGAGAAAAAACTCTTCATTTGACAAGAGCCTCGCTAGTTTGCCTGTAATGGCCTTGTTAAGATTGCATTAAACTTGTTCTTCAATTTAACTTGAAGTTCTCAAGAGTGGCTGAATTGATATCTAATTGCAGGGATGAACCAAGTGTACATCTGATTCATGATCAGGCTTTTAGGCAGGATTTTTTTAGGGGGTGTCCAATTTTTTTTGTTACTGAACAAAAGCAAGTAAAACTCATCTTTGGTAATGCAAAAGTAGAGAAAAAACTAGATGTCTTCCTAGGGTTGAGATAGCTATCTGGTCAAATCAGCAATTCTTACAGTAGACATCCTCATGTTTTTCTGTGGCTATTCTGTCATGAGGCAGTCAGACAACTTTTCAACTTTGGTCTATGTCACTTGAGATTCATGGATTAACTTGAAATTCAGGATTTATATATAGGAGACCAACGTAACACATTCCTAGCATCCTGATTGCCATCTCTAGTCGACAGTTTTGCAACTCTACCAGATACCAAGGTTATCAGATTGCAATTATCTCTACTGTCTACACTGACATATGAAATCAGTGTATCTCAGTCTTATCTAATATAATACTTGGGTTCAGAGCCACTGCTTTCCAAGTTACTAGTAGTCCAGTACTGTACCTGTCGACCTTTCAAATAACTCTGTACAAAACAAAGATCAATTTCTCTCACCTTCAAGTTCTCGATCATGACTTGCCCAAACTTGTCCTTCATGTTCACCTACAATCAATGAGAAAAAAAAATTAAACTTCAAGAATTCAGAGTGATAAACAAAAGATCATAGAACATTCTTTACTGAACTTGCTATTCAGTTCTTAGAAAAAAAACTGGCCTTAGAGACTAATGTACTTGGACAGCATAATAATGTGAGCTATTGATAGAAGTCATTCTGGTCATTTGATCATTAAAAGCAAAGTCATGAGGCTTTGCATGTAGTTATTAAAGATGGTGCCAACGTGAACTTTGATACCATGGGACATTTGGGATTACTCAATGTGAAACATATCATTGGGAAGGTAAGCAGAAAATCTTTTTATGTTCTTCTCAAAGTGATCATGCTCATATTAACTCTCTGATTTAATTTCTACCTCACATGTACATGATGTTACATGTTTTAAGTTCTCTATTAAGTATTTATACCTACTGGCCATGGGGTTATAAATAGATGGGACAAGGTGAAGGGAGTTAGATATTTGATACTAAAATAAAAAATCGAATACAAGCCACAATAGGGGAATAACTTGCATGAAAAGTTCACCTAAGGTCTGCATTCAAACATGAAATCAATGTCAGTTCTTGCAAGCACTTCACATCGCAAGTTATGGCCTCATTAAGACAGCATTAACTGGTTCTTAAAGCTGAAGTCTTCAAGAGTGGCTGAATTGATATCTAATTGCTGGGATGAATCAAGTATGATTCACGATTCCCTGGGTTAGATATTAAAAATTAATAATTGGCCACAATAGGGTAAATAACTTGCAAGAGAAGTTTACCTAATACTGGTAAAACACCCTACATGTATACCGGTACACTGTACTAGGCTTACACACACAACTGGCATTTTGTTTTTCCTTGCTTACAATTATGATCACTGAGAAGGTACATATAGATGCACATACTAGTACATGTATCTTTCTTTCCTACTGATCTGCTGGTGCAACTATAATTGTACAGAACCTGACTTGTCACCACTAAATCTTTTCAGGACAGATTTCTTGGAGACAGAGTGACTAAATGTCATTCACTCACTACATTGTAGCATACATGCATCCAAAATTACTATCATGATGATACTATGATTATGGCATAAAAATGTTTCTGCCTGCATGGCAAATAAGGTGCATGTTCTTAGTACTAGCAAGGAGGTTTTTCTAACATCTTTGGTACTAAAAAAACAATCTGCCAATCGGGCTGCTATACTTGTGTGCCCATGCTAAGTGCATGGTCCATTATGCTTTTAGATTTTAGGTTGAGCTTTGACAGTTTTTACCACTTATTTGATGACATAGATAGAGGCCCTCCTGTAAAGCATTAATGTCTTACTCTGACGCAATACCAGAGTCTACTATCACACCATCATGTAGAAAACAACATTCATCTGAAAATCCTGTACTAGGCAGAACCAAACATTTGGCTCCTACGTAGAAATATTATTTCTTTGGTGAGAAGAAAACTGCAAGGCCTCTTACTTCTTTCCTGTGTCTTTTTTGTAGAGGGGAATCAACCATGATGGCCATTCCTCATTCCTGCTGCTCTACATAAAGAACATCAATTAATTTTTATTTCTTAAAAACTTTGGGCAAAGGGCAATAGTAATCCACGCAAGCACAGTGGGCTCAGTTTTGGTCTGTAGAGATTAGATCAGTTACTAAATGGCAATCTCCTTTGCTTTATTTCATTTTAGGGTAGAGCCTTGCACACTAATGCCCCCTGGCATATGAAAACTGCAATGCAGTCATCAAGGTCTCAAGGAGATCTCCTGCCCAGAGTACCTTCCGACAGACAGCTCCTACCCAGGGTAGCCCACTCACCTGCTCGTAGTTAACGAACATGGCGGTGGGGAAGTTGTCAGCAGCCCATCTCACCAGCTTGGAGGACTGCTCCGGTGTTAGATACACCAGAACACACTCTGTCATGAACAGTGTTGGCAAGCTGTGGAGAATGCCAAAATATCATTAAAAGTCAAAGAAATTCTATTATTGTCTATGTTTGGTTGTTTGCCTTTCAAAGAAGTGCAAAAAATATGGTTGATCTAAAAGCCTGCTTGAGCAAAGTTTTGTTTCCCTCAGTCCAAAAATCAGGCCTTGGATATGTAATACCAATATTAACACTATATTCAAGTATTTGTGACCTACACAAAAGAAAACGTGTGCCAACCATTGATGAATACGAACTTTGAAGAGTGGCAGCTCATGAGCACCACCTTGCAATCTTTGATAGAACTGCAGAGGGAAATTACAATCGGCTCCGTAGAATATCAATGTTCTATTAACATTCACTAGTCTTCATTCAGTTGTCATCATATAATGCCTTGAATGTACAATAAAACTTAGAATGTAAGAAGACACCAGATCAACTGATTTATTTCAAACAAACTGTTCCCAAAATATCAAGCTTCTTGCCCATTCCTGACCACTTTTACTTCCTATACTAGTACAAAATGTATTTTGCCGTCCAACTACCGACCTTTTGTCTATTCCTGATGTGGTAAGAGAAGCATCAAGTTCCTCTGTGTTCCTGAGGTCTCCACTGAGGATGTGATACTGTGAGCAGTGAAGAGTTCCCCCTTCTGTGAAATCAAAGTTTCAGTTTATTTCTATCATTTTTGGTACTTTTCCTCTCATGAACTATGGCTCTAAAAATATACAGATATAAAAAAAATAACTGAAATAGTGTAGTCTGGTGGCAAAGAACTGTCAAATAACTGTCACCTATCTGCAGCTGACCACCCCCCTCTGTGAGTGGCTTGGACAAAGGTGGACGGCTTCTGTAAAAGAAGATCATCAGAGGTCACAAAACTGGAAACTAATCTTACTGAGATTAGAAAGCATGTAAACCAAGTGGCAATTGATGACTTAGCAATTAAAATGTCATTGCAACATTTTATGGTTAATATTTAACGGTGATTTGTTACTGTTTTATCAAAATAATGTTATAGTCTACATCTCAAAAACATATTTCTGGATAGCAAGTTACTAAGGTAAATGTCAGTGTATCATTTCACTAGCTAAACCCAGTGCTTCAATTCCCCCAACTATATACTCTAGCACCCTTCCTACCCTGTATTAACCTTCTCTCTGCTGCCTAACCCCATAACCAATATAAATTTGGTACCAGACAGCTACATTAGCATGCTAAAGGTTAAAACTCAATACAGCACTACAGAAACAGCAAAAAGTTCCCCATATCAGTCTTGGTTGTTCAGTTTTTCAAAAGCACTCATACAAGAAACCAGAACTTGTTGTTATAAATGAAACACTTCAATGTTATTGACCAAACAATGGCATACATGTGCGTAAATCATGAAAAGAATTACCAAACAGAATTCTTTATATAAAAAGGGAAGTCATGTGGAATCACTTCTTATTTTTCAAACACATTAGTATTAGTGGTATTGTTTTCTAACAAAGTAGTTTGCATTCAATTACGGTATTTTGAGCTTCCTCTTTCTAAGAACACTGTACACATAGATGTACATAATAGTTATAAAAACATTGGAAATTTACATTAGTCACAACCAAACTTGCCAAAACTATACACAGATACAAAATGCATCAATGATAATTTCAAAACATTTACAAGGTTGGATGGAACTAGTTGAAACTAGAATGTTTGCAAAATACCTCACCTGATATAATGGCACTTTCTGGATGTTACAGCTGGGAAGTCAACTTCAAAGTAACCTCTTGGAAGTAGCCCCTCATCCTAAAAGAGGTAACAGTATAAATGCTCAGTAGATTTTGCATTTTTCTATTATTTTATTTTCATCCCTACTTCTTGTTAACCCTCCTTTCTTCATTAACTTTATTGGCCTTCCCCTAAATTGACCTTTCCACATAACTGATACAAATTTGTAGGTTGTCTCAAACCCTGCGCCCAGACTGACCACCTGACACTCACACCTGGTCAGTTATGTACCTACCTTAAGGCCGTGTCTATACGGAATCACCCAAGGCGGTTTACATGTGGTTTACCCCGAAGCCGGTTTCAAGTGGCTCCATGTGAACGCCCCGAAATCACATTGAAAGCGCCTCGATCCCAAGCCACTTCTAGAGGTGGTTTTGAATCGGTTTCCCCGCATCGCGATTTGCGTCTGAACGCAATGTGATTTCAATGTAACTTCGCCTGGTCATGGATTACGGGGTGATATTTCTTTTTTTATATGCAATACCAACTTTTACGTGGCAGCAACTTAAAGAGCAGTAATGGTCAAATAATGTGTCCGTTCTAGGGCGAGTTTCACCGCCTCTGGCGGGGCCACGTCGGCATTCGGCCGAGATACGATGGGAGGGGGGCATCAGCAAGCAGGTCGTTGACCTCTGACATTAATAACACGCCACCTTGCGTGTTATCATCAAACAGCAATAAATGTAGCTCAAGCGTATTGTGTCCGGACACGGTTTCACAGGTGTGTGTGGCACGTGGACCAGATGTGAGGAATGTGAGTTACCCGAATCGCGGTTTGGGTGATTCCGTATAGACACGGCCTAAGTCTCCAGTAGGTTGTCTCAAACCCTGCCCCCAGACTGACCACCTGACACTCACACCTGGTCAGTCCTGTACCTACCTTAAGTCTCCTGTAGGTTGTCTCAAACCCTGCGCCCAGACTGACCACCTGACACTCACACCTGGTCAGTCTGTACCTACCTTAAGTCTCCAGTAGGTTGTCTCAAAGCCTGCGCCCAGACTGACCACCTGACACTCACACCTGGTCAGTCGCAGAAACTGGTCTAGCAGCTGGCGCACACCCTGGGTTCTTGCATAGTATCCTGGGTAGGAAACAAAGTCATTAGAACACCTCTTAACTGAAGCCTACGTGTAATTATGTCTGGCTAGTTTCTTTATTTATGTGACAACTTTTCTACTATGTTTAAAACAACCTCCCTTGTCAAAAAAAATACTTGGTTTTCACAGCATGCAAAGAATATACTGATATCTCTCTAAAAGAAATATGTCACAAATTCAATGTTGTTTAGCAATGCTATACAATAAAGGTTTGAGTACCAGTAGTCATGATCACTGAAGAATGCACACCTGTAAAGTGTAATGATAAAATTCACCCACCTCTGTTGATTTCAGGTGCTTTCCTTTCACCTGGTCTGACCAGGTGTTGGATGTAGGGGTCCTTCCAATAACCCTGCTGAACTGCAAACCTGGACAGGTGTCAATCAGCCTTGTTAATGCCAAAATGACAGCACATTTGCATAGAATTTCCTTGTAAAACTTTTGACCATTTGTTATTAGTACATCGCATATAGTATATCATAAATCAAATTATCATCTGCTACAAAGGATTCAAAATCATTGTCTATTATTGGAAGCAACGTCAGTTCACCGGATTGACACTATGGGAGAATTTGCCATCGTATACAATCTCTCCGTGTCTTTTCTGTAAATAACAACAAGAGAGAAAACAACAAACAAGTTCTAGTTCCGACCGCCCCTCCCACTCCCACCCTTGTTCCAGCAGACTACGTCACCTTTTGCAGCTCGCTGCGTCATCATTCGTGGCGATTACAGCACTGTCATCGACTCCGGCGGTCGACATCCTTCTACATCCTTCAACCTAAACCCCCAAACCTGCAATTACAAGCTCTCTACTTCTTTAAAACGTCAAAATACTGCAGGTCTTCGCAAAAAGTTGTTCCACCGCCGCCATATTGGTTACGACATACCCTTTTTCATAAGGAGAGTTGTGATTGGTCTGTTGACAACAGTCGAGCCAATGAAAAGCTCCTTTATGAAACCGGATTCGGTCCTCTGGTCAGCTGATTGATATTTCCCAGCCTCCCTCGCGCGGAGTACGCCCATGTTCATTTTGCCAAGAGAGGAAGTTTTACGGGAAGCTGTTCGGCTCATGTTAGCTCAGATCCTGCCTCCAATTCAGGATACATTCGGCCTTTCCGGTGCATCGGACCAGGGACTGCCTGTCCCCGGCTGCCTGCTGTTGTTTGAGTCCCGTGCTATGCGAGAGTGAGCCGCCATGAAGAAGCAATTTCTTCGCGTGAAGCAACTCGCCAACCAAACAGTTGGGAGGTGGGTGGACAGCTTATGCTGATGATATATGTCACCGAAACCTTTCTAATTAATCCGATCAACCTTCCTGCTTTCCCAGCCCTCCCTCCATAGAATTTCTGTAACGAAAAGCAGAATTTGTAGTGTTCTGTAAAGACATAGAGTCGTAATCGTGGTGTAAATATGCTGTAGATGGGAGGGCAGGGCGGCCTAACTCAGTCCGAAGTTCGGCACCCTATCTGTGTGCTGTACTGTTTTCTTCTGTGTACAGTATTTACATATCTGTGTGGTTTGCCCCAACAAGGTCACTACTTGATGTGACGGCTGCATCTGTGCAAACGGTTCACTGGCAAAAATGTTTGACCAGCAAACCACACTTGCACGCCACCGTGTGCTTCATTTTACCAAAGGCAAAGCCTCCAAATTTACCAGGTACCAATATATAAACTGTCAATGGAACAACAGGTTTATTTAAACGGGTTAATGAATAAACAGTTGATACACAAACGGTGAAAATGAAATGTAACTTTCTCACAGAAATCAAAGTTTGCTAGTATGATACATGTAGTTTCAACTGGCATAATTTTGCAGCACAAAGCTCCTAATTGAGACAGCTGAAAATAGTAACACAATGTTTTTCAGGTGACTCACACACATGACATACCAGTAACCATGATAGTCAGCATTGTCAACATTTTGGGACATTCTAAAGGCTTTAAAATAGTTTGTTTTTCTAATAATATCGGACTTGTTCGAGCTCGCCCATGGAACTGGCCATTGGGACAGTGTGCGTAACTCATTTAGCACAGGACAAGTCACAGCCCAGCCCAATACAGAATGTAAGGTGACCTCACATGACCTGAAGTGTGGGATTTAATCTTGATACAGAACAGTCTTTAAAAAAATTCAGTCACATAAGATTTTGTTACACACATTCTTAGCTTTTATTCATTCTTGATGTATGTCATTATACAGCAAACATTGACAACTCAGAACTGTGTCATTGTCAACATCTGAAACTGAAACTGTTCCTTTATATTTGACATTTGGAAGGTCCTGCTTGTTTAAACTTGAAGCCAGCATTTCTACCATACTGGTATTTCTGATTTTCATCTTACTTGGCTTGTCATATTGCATGAATTTACAGAAGAGGAAATGTTTGTTTTGTTTTCAAATCTGACCATTTTTCTAATGAATGGGCAGTTTGTTGTTCTTTGCCGTTCCATTCAAATGGTCTACTGAGGGGCAATATTAAAGAATCTTTTATTGAAAAGATGGATGAGTCAGGAACAATTTATCATATTGGGAAATTTCAATCAAACTCAAATGGAGATGGACGTTCCTCATGTCCCCTCAGGAGATTTTGAAATGGAACAGTCCACAACACAATTACAGTTGATTATGAGAATATGACATGAAAGGCTTAGGGTTATGTTAACACTCATGTTACAAAGGGGCATAATTTGTGGGGTTGGAGTTTTTCTGCCAGCAACTGTCAAATATTAATTCAAGGTGGTATTGCCCTTGAAAGGCTGTGGTAACAGCACTGGAATGAAATAATTCATCAGGAGGCTGCGGCTGATTTGATTGGATCAATCTTATTATGGACAGGGAAATGGCTGTAATTTGATTAGGGATCAAAGACTCTAAAAATGTATGATGTCATCACATGGATTGACGGAGTAACAAGGCCAAATATAAGCCTTGCACTTCCTCTTGAATTTGTGCATTGTAATTTGTAGCATGCAAGTTGAAATGATCGCACAAGAGAAATTCATTTGTAGCTGTGGTCAGCATGTAAAAATAGTAATACTGTAGTATTACATTCATGTTACGTTCCCAGAATCGTTGCAATGTGAAGTCTTTCTGATCTACCAAAACATTGTAATTGTGTTTTACACAGACACACACAACAATGCTGCTTGGTATTACTGTTAATGGTGCTGATTTAGATGATGAAAACATGGAGTTTTGTTTAGCCTAGCTAAAACAGGTGAAACAGGAAATGACATCAGAGGCAGACCAGACAGATATGTAATACAGGAAACAGCACGCTTTGCTGGTATTTCATCTGATTAATGTTGTCTTATAAATGTCCTCATGATTCTTGTTGTTTGTTTCAGAGCGGAAAAAACAGAAGTTCTCAGTGATGAACTGCTACAGGTGAGTCAATAGGAGTTGACTTGACGACCATATATTTGTCATCATTTTTATTACAGTTATTGCTATTTACATGTACATTGTATGTCATACTGTTATCAACATGACAAAAAGCAAATGACCAATGTTTTTTTAGAAAGACTTTTTGAAGAATCATGATGAAGTATTTGTTGTTGATTGTTGCAAGAAATATCAGAGTGTCAACTTTTTTTACAGCCAGAAACATGAAATTTCCAACTGAAACCGACATGGTCAGGTCTTGTGATGAAAATTGGATGAAACCTTGAGACATTTCTGAGACATAATGTCATGACAGAAGAGTAAAAAATTGCTCTGACGATATGGTGTGGGAAGACTCAGTAGTCCCTTGTCTGTTGGCAAATTCTGCATCCCACATACAGATTCCTTATCCACCCACACTTAGTCTCACCCTGCTATCTAAGTCTTACTATCATGATACCACTGATATCTACTGTCAAACATACATATACAAGTGACCATCCGTACATAAGGACCACCTGGACAATATGAACGCTTTTTGGTAGTCTCTTATATAATTTTTCTCTTTGATCCTATCTATACTGTCTACTGACCACCTGTCCACATATTTTTGTGGTCTTCTTGGCCAGTTTTCACTGTATCTGTGTTGACCAAAAACATGCAAACTTTTAGTTAGTTTGACTTCATCACACATGTTCTAGCAACCCATCTGCTGGTCAGGCCCCTAGAAATTTCTTTGGTAGGAGGCCAAATCAGCCCCTGACAAGAAGAGATAATTATGTAACACTAGCTAGTTTTTTGCCTTGGGGTGAACAGTGGTTTACATGCCATCATGCACTTCTCAAGTCATAAGACTTCTATCAGAGTTGACAAGTGGCACCATGCACAAACACAGGGCACACCTGTCCTATGCATGTGTATATAAGACAGGTGTGACCTGTGTTTGTAATACATGTGCAGTACTTGTCCTACATGCAGTCAACCAGTAAATGCTTAACCGGTTATTTTCAAGAAATCTTTGTATGCAAGACCATGAGGTTACAAGTTGTTTATCCTACACATTGCAGGGCTCAAAATGCCATTGTTTAATTACCAGGTACAATGTAGTTAAAGTTTTATAGACTTGCACCACATAGACCTCATATCTGCCTGATCTTCTTTTTAGTCCATCAAAAAAAGGAAAGTGTTTTTAAGATCCCTGGCACCAATTTAAGATCTAGTTCTAATAGTTTCTATTTATTTCTATATGTTATCTAATTCTATTCTACATCAGGATTCAGGGACCTCCCTAAACAATGGAGCAGTGGAGCTCCTCCACCCAGTCCTTATCTCAGCTCCACCCTGTTAAATTTCAAAACTAGTGTTTTTACACCCTTTTCCAGGGTTCTTTGGTCAAATTTACCGATATTTCGCACCCTCCTCCATTCTGTCCTAAATTTCTGGGGAGATCCCTGGGATTTAGAATGCAACAATTTCTGTAAACTACATGTATGTGAAGTTTAGGAAACAAAGAAATACCACCGGTAACTAACTTGTGAGTTAGATGTAGGTACTGTTAGTGCTAGACATCACATATCTGCACAGCTCCAATTTTACCTGCATTAACCTGCATTATGTAACTTACCTTATTTGTTTGATTAATTCTTATGGGATTGTAAACCACCAATTATAAACCCTGCATCAATTCAGTGCAATAATATAAAGACTGCAATTGCACAGGTGCTGTTTGACCAATAAACCAAACCTGAACTGATGCAGGTTGTATTTCTATCCCTGTACTGCGCGCAGTGCCTGTGGGTTGTTTTACTTTTAGACAACCAGTCATGCAAGTCACGCAGACACAACAATACGATAGACATTATTCATGATCCTTGATTTCCTGAAACATCTGGTCCTGGTATGCAGATTGCTTATCTTTATGTTTTAGAACTGCACAATTAAACCTGACTGTCAAACATGTATACTCTCAGCTCTCTATTAAACGTACCGGTACGTTTATTTTTTTTCGCCTCAAAATCCACCCGGTACATTCTTATTTTAGACGGTACGTTTATTTCTTTTTTCATAATCGGAAAAGTTCCGGGAAAATTTGCGGTCCTGAATGTAAAATGACAAAAAAAAAAAAACGCTTCTCCCGGCCCAGCCGACAGAAAAATTATGTCCCGGTACGTTCTGTTTTGCACGGTACGTTTACGAAGTTTTCAAAATCACGGCAAGTCTAAGAACATATTACCTCCCTTTTACATGTAAATTATATTTGGGAACACATATTGTGTAGAAAATATGAACTATAACGGGCGTTATGTAAAGAAAAATTGGCGAAATTTGCAACATTTTTCACGCAACATGCACACACATCTCACTCAAAACTCCTTGCTCAGAACGATCTTTTTCTTGGGACTATGTTAAAATAATACCACAAACAATGTATTCTAGCACTTACAACATGTGATACTCTCAAAAAGTCGAAAATCCTACCACAAATATGAAAATTTAGCGCTGGAAAAAGTCCAATTCTCATGCAGTGAAATACGTAAACATGTAGTTTCTCACGGTCGGCAGAGCTCACTTTTTGTGTGTGGGGGGGCAATTATTTATATTCTTTATAATTACAGATAAAACTCTTTCTCAAAAATAGACATAAGCAATTTGCAATTAACAAAGCTAATTATCATGTAAAAGACCAAAAATAGGAGTATAATTGCAGTCTAATGTATGAACTTTCACAGAGAAATATTTTGCAAAAAGTGTCCCCCCTTCAAAAAGAATGTCTCAGTTTTTTCTAAGAACTGAGTTCTAAACTTGAAGCCCCGCCTCTACTCATTTGCATATCTCACTGGAAACACTTCAAAGCGTAGCAGGGTAACATAAAACCCTTGACTCTGGACCGTTGTGAAATGCAATGTGTTACAATGTTGCCATTTGAACTGTGATTAGGATGTAGCATTGATCATTTACTTTGGTAAAAAGAGAAATATGCAATGCATAAATGGAAATTTGGGAAAGATAAAAAAAGAAATAATTATGTTTAAGTAAATACTTGTAGATGATTATAAATTCTTTTGCACATGGCTTTTACAAACTAGTATCACAATTTGTATAGAGCATATGTTAAGCATATGTTCAACTTCATGAGCTCTAAATGAAATCTTACTGATAGTTACCAAGCTGTAAAAAATCTACTCTTATTTCAAAACTTCACATATTACTGTCCCTGCTGATGCAATGCAATGATCAACAACAAATTGTATGAATGCAGAGAAGTCATATTGATGTATGACAGTGTAATATATATTACACTGCAAGTGATGTATGCATATACATGTACTCCTCAAAAACCTGTAAGAATACGGGCTGTTGACTTTGATAATTTTCCAGGGGGCACATTTATTTTGGGGGTATATTTATTAGGTTTCGAAGATTTGTTGGGGTAATCATATTCAAGGGGGTATGTTTATTCAGGACCTGTCAATAGTTGCAAGTGACAAGGTCATATAGACGCACACATATATACACCATGAGAACACATTTTTGGAGCATAGACGTTGCTTACATGTCAATTTTTAAAATTTTCCGGGGGGTACTTTTATTCCGGAGGGTACTTTTATTACATTTTGAAGATTTGTCCGGGGGGTACTTTTATTCCAGGGGGTACTTTTATTCGAGAGGTGAGAGTACATGTATTGTAAAGAACATCAACTGTCACAGATGATTCTTTGACTAATGTTTGCATGTAAACATTTTGAAAGCAGGAAAGTACTATGCCTGAAGAAGAAATTTATGAAATTTTGTACTCTTAAGATTTCTGTGTGAGATTAACTTGTCGTGAAATGTATAATTATGTTATGTATGTTGGGATATGCAAGATGTCATATGGAGATGATCAGTGATTACAAGAATGTGGTGAAAGATATTACCACATGTTCAATGTGATTATGCAGGCATGTTTAGCCATGTTGTTGTGCATTTGACAAAGTCAAATCAAACCAACCACCAGAAATTGGAAACTGTTATGTTTAATATGTATCCCTGAGTCTTCTGTATCTGTATAGCCGGTATAACCGCCTTTTGGCGTAACACACTAGCTGTTTTGTTTTTTCAGAATAAAGTCCAAGGGATGTTCAAAGTTCAAGGTCAATTCAGAATTCACTAAATGTATTCATCTGTCAGTCATAATCCAACTATTATGGGAACATACAATAACTGTATATTGGGTAAAGATGGTAACTATTTTTCTTAAAACTTTTTGGACAAAAAGACTGTCTCTCCCTGAATTTACATGCATAATCACTTCAATTTTCAGTTGTTTGAGAGCTGCAGCTACAAGCACAGTCTAGTTACTAGTATACTTACTGCAGTTGCCTATAAAACGTGATCGGAAGCTTTAAACCATTTGTGATTTCAGGGTTAGTTGGGTGTGAGAGGCCTTTCTTGAGAAAGCCAGTACTGGTAATCACCACTTGACTTCAGAGTAAGAAGTGGTTTCAAGTAGTTACAGCTGTGTGGATTTGTGGATGGGGAGTATATACAAGGGTGCTCACGGAGAAAGCCAAGCTCTGTGAACTTTGACCCACTGGACATAGATTTTCTTCAGGTCAAGGAACCCCTTTGCGTGAAGAAAAGGCATCAAGTGGGGACCACTGTAGGGGGGGCGGGTGTAATTGTGAAAGTGCTTGTGATAGATGAGATCTTGGCATCAGCTTTTTGTATCAAGTTGGGAGTCTCTGAACTTCTCTTACGGGCTTTTGAAAACCATTTTTGTACATAGGACGAGTCGGTCTAAGAAGTAGGGGATTTAAGATATGGACACATTATCATTGAAATAGAAGAACTTATGGAATATTTATACCATCTGGAATATTTACAGAATTTTTTTTGGTAAAAGATGAAAATTGTGACTGTAATGTAAATATGTACAGTTTTTACATACCAATTTGTGTCTGTATTTGTGGTGACTGTTATAGTATAAAACTGTCCTGGGTATTGAGTCATTGTTGTGTCCCACCTAGCCTGACACACCTGTTTAACAAACAAACTGTCCATATAAAACAAATACTTGAGGGACGTCATGTAATTCTGATGTTAACTGTTTACACACATCTGACAGCTGTATGGACCTTTTCTGTAGCCATTGTGATGAATTGGGCAATTTTAAATTTAATGCTTAGAGTGCAGTGTTCCAACCAACCTCAGTCTTTTTGTCATTTCAATTTTGCTTATCTTTGATGAACAAAAATTACCAATATATAGGGCTCGAAATACCACCTGCATATGCAGGTTAGTGCTGGTAAAGTTGGAGCTTTGCAGGTATTTCTGATGTCTTACATGTAGGTATATGTGAATTTTCATTTGCTATGTTGATCATGACTGTTACCAACTTACTACCTATGGCACAGAAAACAAATAATGGCAATGGTTTCTGAACAGTTTTTAGTATGATCCATACTTCCTAAATTCAGAATGGTGCAGATATGCAGAATAAAAAGTATTTTGAATTTGAGCCCAGGCATGTATTGTACATGTACATGTACTTGTGCTCTCCTAGTATTTTTCTGGTCTGAAAAGGTGGTAACTGTAGGCTGACTGTATTCATTGGTATCATAGTACCCTGACATTGATCTAAAGGGAAGGGTGACCTGAATGCTTTTCTTAGAAAAGCTACAAAGAATTCTTCAGCCCACTGAACTTCAGGAACTTCTGCATGTAGACCCAGCTGAATGGTGAAACTTTAGATTTATGTTCTTGCTTTCATTCGGTGGGAGGAAGGGGAAGTTTACCAAGCATTCAGTGTCTTTGTAGTGCAAACCACACTTTTCTTTTCTTTTATGGCTCATTGACAAAAGAAAAACACAGAAGAAATTGAGTATAGAAAGTTTAATGCTGAGAATGTCTCAAGCCATAAAACTCGAACAGCTGTTGATTTGTTTCTTTTGTGTTATAGTGATTTTGATATTATGATAATGAATAACACTGTTTTTTTTTTGCAGAAAATAATTTGAGCGTTGATAAGTTTACATGTTGGTGAAGCGTATGTCTGTTACACCATAATAATGTCACCCCCTCCCCCACACATAGGACCAGTTACCAGTATTCTCATACATGTACATGTCATATACAAAGTGTTTTAAATGCTAGTACAGAAAATGTTGGGCCTTAGCTTATATGTGTGTATATAGTGGTTCATATTACCATTGCTACTTTTTCTTCACAGATTGAGAAGAAGATAGACAATGTAAAGCTTGCCACCCACAATGTCACCAAGAAACTGTCAGCCTGCCAACAGGGTGGGGGGGACAACCTAGACAAGCGTATGGTGAGAACTTAGTTCTGTCCCTCCTGCTATCTTTTTTGATAGTCTTAAGTTTTGTAGACTTACGACAGAGATCTTAATCGGTGTTTCTATTGACAGAGGATCTCTACCAGTGCATTATAATTGTCGATTGTACTAGATCTGTATTTAAACAAGTCATTTGTATGTAAATATATTATACGTAAATCTGTTCCCTACTTTTGATTCTGTCATGTTTTTGTTGTCATCATTATGATGCAAACAATTTTCTCTTTGTTTTCTTGTGTCTTTGTGGCTATTTTCTTGCACCTTCTTCTGTGTTCTCCAACCTTCTTCCTAGGTTTCTTTCCATGAACTACTTAATCTGTACTCTTTCTATGGGACAGCATTTCAGAAAGGTACCAAAGAGTGTGAAGTTAGAATATGTACTAGTAGTACTTTGTAGTATCTATTGCATGTGTTTCTATTTTCTTTGAAATGTGGGTTTCACTTGTCTTTCATGCATTCAAAGTTATTACAAGACATTGGAAGAGTTAACATGTATGTATACTATAACAATTCTGATATGTCTAATATATTCTGTTCTAATTTACAGAAAAAGCTTCCTCAGTCAGCACTATCACAGAGCATGTTAGAGTCCTGTGCCCTGATGGGGGATGACACACTACTGGGGTATGTAGACCTTCCTGTTCTATCATTATATAACATCTTAGCCTGACTACATCATATATGGTTTCTAACAGTAACAGGATAGGCTTAGTCATCTTCTGATAGTAAGAGATTGTTAAACACAGGTTATACATTATAAATAATATACTAAAATAAGAACGGTGCCAACAATAAAGTCATAGTAATACTGTATGATTATGATTACAATCAGAGTTGTAGTTGACATTACATATTGGGTAACATTGCACATTTAAGTTGTTAGATATCGATGATATTAAGTTTTAATGAGACGTTTCTGTCATCTAACTGCCATGCTTCCCTGTGTATTCAGGACATTGTTCCAGTTGTGTGGGGAAGGACAGGGAAACCTCGCAAAGGATCTCACCAACTACGAGATGGAAGTGGAGAAAACAGTCATGACACCACTCACAACTCTCCAGGAGGTAAGGGGTCTTGATGAATGTTCTTCTGAAGGTATAATATTGTTTTTGGTGTGTCTGTGTCTCTATGTGTGTTTGCTTGTGTGTCCATGCATTTTTATGCAGTACCAGGAAGAGAAGGGGAGAAATAGTGTTACAGTAACTGCATACTGATGTAGTAAGGTCAAATTGGGGGTATAGTCTCCATGCAATAGTCTCCCTGCAGGCATGAAGGAAGTGAATGAATTTCCTGTCTTCAGTTTCCTCCTACATGTATATGTGCCTTTTGCCTTATGAAAGTGAGTGGGAAAATGCATGGTACAAAATCCAAGAGAAATTTACAATAATGACATTCACAATAATGACGCTCACAACGACACTTACCAGTAATACTTTCCAAGAATTTTCCAACTTTTTCTGATATGTTAAACATGCCCCCCTCCCCTGCCCCATACAGGTGGACATTCCTGCTATCCAGACCCAGAGAAAGAGGTTAGCTAAGTTAGTCCTGGACATGGACTCAGCCAGGAGCAGGTACCACTCTGCCATCAGGAGCTCCAACACAGGAGGTAACCAGGCCGCCGCCATGGCCAAGGGCAGAGTCCCTGAAGGATGAGATGGACGATGCACAGAGCCGAATGAACCTCTGTCGGGTGAAGTTTACAAACATTTCTTTGGCAATTAGAGTAACCATACTGCATAAGGTTTCATACATGCAGTCATAGTTCATTAGTATTTATTATCATTTCTATACACGGTTCTGAAAAAGCAGCTTTTTAAGAAAAACTTGCTGATAACTATGCATTTAGAAATACACATTGATGAAATTTGTGATCTGTCTGCAAATTTTCAAATTTGATAAATGCTTATTAATTATCTTGTCCTCTATGATTTCAGGATGCTCTGGCCACCGACATGTACCAGTTTGTGTCAAAAGAGCAGGAATATGCACATAACCTGATCAGTGTAAGTACTGCCTTAACCCTACCTGTCACTAGTGTTAGTGCATTGTTCTGTATACTTACCATTGGTATGGA